CCCCAAAACCCCAAAACCCCAAAACCCCAAAACCCCAAAACCCCGTTTCAGATTTAGAAAACTGAAACTAAAGATTATCGATGAGATATTAAAACTAAATCTTCTAAAAATGTTCATATTTCAAAACATAGGTGTGTTTTCCCCTCTTGTTAATTTGGTTGCAAGCTACCTTAGCCTGATTGACAATTATGTCTGATGCACAAACATAGCAGAAGAAGTCGCCAGGGTCTGTCACATTGATCTCTTCAATGATCTTCTCAAAATCAGGTCTCTCCACATTCAAAGTGATATTGGATCCCATAATGGAGTTAACAGAGTGGATTAAGTTTCTGCTCTTTAATTCTTGACGTTTTAAGAAAGCTCTCCAAAACAAGAATGATGGAAGAGAATTACATTTGGTTGAAGTTAGATATAAGTGGAGGTGAACTTTGTCTGAAAAGCTCTGAGAATTCATAATCCTATCGATGTATGGAGACAGCCACGAAAATTGGTCAGCATCTCGACTAGTCAATATCAAATGAGCTTTCTCAGTGCTTCTAAACTCTTCTTTGTATGTCTTAGATACTCCTCCTCCCACAGTCTTCCTACCTCCTTCGGCCGCTATTTGCTGGTCATCCAAGAAGGCAAGGAACGGAGCGATGCCTGAGCCAGCGCCAATGAGTATGATGCGTTTGCGCCTAGCAGCCATCTCTGCAGGAGCTGACACAGCTCTGCTCACATTGATTCGAGGATACAGCTTCTTGTTCTGACTGATGGACTCATCGTCTTCGAAGTCGATCTCCATTAGGTAGTCTCTGAACTCGCGCTTGTATTCGTGCTCTCCCACTTCATTGATGATGTCTGCAAAGCCTTGTTCTTTGATGGCTGCGAACATGTCAATGAGTTTGGTTGTCCAGTCTCCGGCTTTCTTGATCATGAAGCTGAGGTATTCTCCGTTAGGAGATGATGAAATCGAGAAGGGGTGCCACTCTAGTTTGCTGATGGCTGGAATGTTGATAAATGCATACTGACCAGACTTCCACTTGTAGCCTTTGGGGACTTCTAAGTTCAAGTTGATGAAGGTTTTGTTATTGACAATGGATACTTTGGCAACTTTGAAGGGTCTTCTGATTGTATCTATGACTCTTCTGCCAATCATCCAGAAATAAATTAATACTGGCACAATAAAAGGTACTAGAGCTGTGGGGATACCCCAGTTAAGCCAACGAGCAGCTCCATGTGCAATTGTTCCGAAGATAAACACAGGGAAGAACACCATGTGGATATAAGAAAACAGTTGGAAGTGTCTTCTGCGAATACATTCCAGAGAAGTAAAGAACATAAGTGTAATTGCAATCTGTAGAATAATGCCTGTTAAGCCGGGAATCGTTAGGAATACCACTTCAGCGACACTCGGAGAATGGTCAAATCCAAAAGTGCTGATATTAGCTTTGATGGCTGGGAAGTTATCGTCTTTGGATAAAGCAGGAACTGACCAAGCACAATGACAAATAGTATGAATGGTAGAGTAAATAAACAACAGAAACCCTCATACCTTATGAAACAACAAATGTGAATCCAGAAGCGACAGTCATTTGCCTCCACATCACCCTCTGATTGCTGTCAGAAAGTCATAGGACACAAAAAGCAAGACTGCCACTCACAGAAATATGATCGCAAGTGCGCAGCCTTTAGCGACCATCAGCTGATTGCCAAGCATTGCAAACACCACAGGATTCGCTTTGAGGTGGGTGTACAGAGCAAAGGCGATGAAGCACAAGGCTGAGATGCAGCCGATCACTCCGGTGACGAGCCAGTCTTTGAGGGCTTGGTTGGTGATCTTGGGGACTCGTTCCAACAGATTTGGGTCACTTTGGTTGGAAGAGTCTTCGTGCTTAGTCATAAAGTCTTCGTAATCTATTTCTTCTTCTACTTTTTCTAAAACGCTTTTCAATGGTTTCTTCGAGTCTTTAAATATTGATTTATTTGATTTGCCTTTCATATTTTCTCTGTGAACATACTTGCTCTTCTTTCTGAGAACTTTTCTGGTATTCATCATGCTCATAAAATCTGAATCAGCTTCACCTTTATTCTCTTCAAGATTTATAGACTTGCGAAGACTCTTAATAAATTCAATTTTTGAAGCTCTCCTGCCTTGAGACAAATTATGCTTGTTGTCTTTCGGCTCATCAAGAGTGACCCCAAGAGAGTCAACAAGTTTAGCATAAGTGTCCTCCTTAATCATGAACAAATGGTTGTCTTCAGCCCCTTGCTTCAGAAGCAGGATTAACTGGTCTTTAGTCAGAGATTCTGTCTCAAGGTACTCTTGTATCTTAATCCTGATGTCTCTACCTCTAATATTATCGGCCATGAGGTTCTTCTGGTTGATCTCAAAGTCGAGAGGTGTCACAAAAGATTGTAAGCGAGGGGCTGCCTGGTTTATCCCTTCGAAGCTCTCTTCATCAGAGGAATCATTGAGAAGTTCTCTATTCAAACTTGATTTAAGCATCCCTATTTACTTAATTTATTAATTCTGGTTGAATTTTCAGCCATAAATAGGAATCATGGGGTTTTGGGGTTTTGGGGTTTTGGGGTTTTGGGG